CCCCCGCCGCCGGTTACCCATGGTTTGGGTAACCGGCAGGGGGTGAGATCCAAGCCCGGGATACCTGAAAGGCATCCAGACCCCCCACTCTCCCCCCGCAGCTTGGATCCGAGCTGCGGCGGCTACCCCAGCCATGGCCGGACTCTAGGGAGTCCAGCCATGGCTGAGGTAGCCGCCGCGGGTCAGATCCAAGCCGCAGGGGGAGGGAGAAAACCAGATAATCCGTTCCTATTAGAACGGATTATCCGGTTTTCAATGCATCTCTATGGGAAAACTCGTTTCACTTAACGATGTTTTCCCATAGCGGTGTTTTTTTTAGAACGAATTAACCTCGCTATGCGAGGCACCACTGTAATGCTTTTTGTTAATGTAGGGTAGACAATTTCTCTCTCTCTCTCTCTCTCTGTCTCTCTCTGAGGGCTGTATGCAAAACCCCAAGACATCTGTTTGAAAGAGATGCTTCAAGAAGAAGCCAGTGCCTGAATGTTCCAAAAAAAGTTTTTTTAAATTTAAAAATGTCCAGAAGGCTGATGTCCATAGGTAAATCTCAGTGTGCTTGGTAAAACTGATGGATGAAACTAAATACACCATTACATTCTATGATTTTATTTCTAAACATCTGTAAGGCTGAACTACTGTTTACATTAAGAACAGGGACTGCTTACTTTGTGCTTCCGTCATCATCGGTCACCATCAGGAGCAGGGATTTCTGGGGGGCACTTTTGATGAAAGCAGCCATTGATCCAGAGAAATCTGTGGGTTGAAATGTTTTTGCCCCTAAAAATATATCTACATACATGTCCATTACCTGACATTTCACTTCATTTCTAATGAGCCATTACAGTTTCTTGGTCTTTCTGACAACTGATTGCATGCAAAAGCTCTGTGTGCGAGTTCTCAGCTTTCACAAATGAAAAGTACCTGAGGACCTCCAGTCAAATTATATTTTTACAAGTGTTCAGCTGAAATCCTGTTACTTAGAGCAACGTTCCTCAACCTCTTTGGGACTGCAGACTGGCTGAACTTCTGAGGAAGGTGGAGCACCCCCCATGCTCGTGCGCGCTCTTGGATGCATGTGCAAAGTGGTGGGGGAGCGCGTGCATGCCAGCAGTGGTGTGAGCACTTTGCCACCCCTTTGCGCGCATGTGCAGGAGCACCTGTACAACCCTCGCGTGCGCCCACTCACCCCTATGCATGGCGTTTGCGTGAAGGGATGGGAGAGTGCTGGCACGCTTGTGTGTGTGTGCAAAGCAGCTGTGGGGAGGGGAGTGCGTGCAGATGGGCACGTGGTCTGCCTCCATGGACCGGTCTGGCTCAGGCCACGGACCAGGGGTTGACGACCTCTGACTTAAGAGTAAATCAAATCATAACTTTCAGTCCATTCCTCCCTGCTACATGTCAATTCTTCTCACCCCAATTGTCCGGGGACATGTATACATGAACCAAGCCAACATGAGCAGGCAATCCAGAGAACCACAGTAGGGACAGTTTGTTTACAGAGGAGGAACAGACTGAAAATTATAATATGGCTTATGTTAAGAAACAGGATTCCAGCCTAGGTATATTGCTCTAGGATTAACGTTTGTGATCACTGAGCATTACATGAATGTTAAAAATAAATCTGCTCCATTAATACAGCAGCAGACATGTTCTGGAGGGAAGTTAAGACACTGTGATATTCAACAATAGTCCCAAGGTGGCTCCCATCATTAAAAGACAATTATTTCAAGCTAAAAACAATACATATACAGTGGTGCCTCGCATAGCGAGGTTAATCCGTTCTAGGTTAACCTTCGCTATGCGAAAACATCGCTGTACGGATCAAAAAAAGCCATATTTAATGGTCAAAAACTCACTGTACAGCTATGTTTTCTGGGTCCGGCAGCCATTTTCGCACCCTCGGTAAGCGAGGGGAGGGCGCGAAAACACTGCGCGCGGCCATTTTGGCCGTCTGGCAGCCATTTTGAAACCGCCGAACAGCTGATCTGCGGGCGTCGCAAAGCAAAGATAGGTAAGCAAAACGCTTACCAATCTTTGCTATGCGAGTTTTGCCCATTGGGGCCGACGCTTTTTCGCGCCCTCCCCTCGCTTACCAAGGGCGCGAAAACGCTGCCTGCGGCCATTTTGGCTGTTCCGGCAGCCATTTTGGACCCGCTGAACAGCTGATCCGCAGGTCGCAAAGCGAAGGTCGGTAAGCGAAACGCTTACCGATCTTCGCTATGTGAATTTCGGCCATGGGGGCCGACGCGATGCCTTCGCATTAGCAATCCCGGAAAAGGGATCGCTATGCGAATTCATCGCTATACGAGACGCTCGTAAAGCGAGGCACCACTGTACAAATACTAAAGTAGGAGCAAACAAATACTATTCTAAGATGTGGTAAACAAAAGGAATACTAAAAACACATTCAAAGCAGTAAGGCACAGCAATCCATTTAAAACCCCCACTCAGGCAGCAAGTCATTTAGGGGAAGCTTGGCTGAAGAGAAAGGTACTTGCCTGTTTGCAGAAGGTTAACAAAGATGAGGCCTGTCTGGCCTCCTGAGGGAGGGAGTTCCAAAATCTGGGGGCAGCAACAGAGAAGGCTCACTCCCGTGTCCCCACCAAGCACATCTGTGAAGGTGTTGGGACTGAGAGAAAGGCCCCTCCTGATGATCTTAATGCTCAGACAAGTTCATAATGGGAGACACGTTCCTTGAGATGGCTTGGACCCAAGCTGTTTAGGATTTTATAGGTTAGAACCAGACCAGAAACAGACTGGCAGCCAGTGGAGCTGCTATAATGGGGGTTATGCGATCCTCCTAACCAACCCCAGTCAGCAATCCGACTGCTGCGTTTTGGAACTGCTGAAGTTTCCTGACACCTTCCATAGGCAGCCCCATGTAGAGCAAATTACAGTAATCCGGATGATGATTTAAACAGGGGCATGTGTCACTGTGGCCAGTGACTGGGTGCAGGAACGGGGGCAGCTGGCATACTAGCTTTAATTGTGCAAAGGCCACTGCTGTATACTGGGCATCCAGGCTCAGAGACGTTGAATTATGACTGATAGCAGGGATTTTTATATCTCAATATTGAACACAGGCTTGCATCTTACCTCCTTCGTACATGTCAAAATTTTTTGTATCAACAACATTTCCAGTAATATCTAAAAGAAAGAAAACACATTTTCTGAAACAAAACAAAACGCAAAACAAAAACCTCAGAAAAAAGCATGCTACAAACATGCTTTACTGTTACTGTCAATAATATTCAGTTTAGAAACCAAAAGGCTACGGCTGAGCACATATCATGAATATTCAGTTTAGAAACCAAAAGGCTACTGCTGAGCACATATCATGTGCAATATATATATATTCTGAATGCCACTGTGCATGCCCTTACAAAAGGTATCAAGGTGGATAATGAAAATTTAAATCTTATTATTATTGAGCAATATTATTAAGTGTTCTTTTTGTTTAAAGCAATCCTGTTTAAAATCAAATATATACATTTGGAAACACAAACAGGCATGTCAGATTCAACCTCTATTCCCCCTGCCCCGTTTACCAGTTCCAAGGCTCCCCAGCGTTCCCTTTTTGCCCTGGGGAAGCCTTTGGGAGCCTCAGAAGAGGGAGAACCTTTAATAGTCCAGAATCACCACTGCAGGTCCCAATCCTGTCAGCGGTGATTTTTTTTTTAAAAAAAACTATTAAAGGCTCCTCCCTTGCCTGTCCTGAGGCTCCCAGAGGCCTACCCAGGGCAAAAGAGACCGCTAAAGGCAGGGATGAAATAGGGAACTTTCCACTAATGTAAATTAAAAATTATCTGTGCCTGATTGGAGTTAGACCTCTGTAAATTTATGCAACAGGATTTTGCTAATGTATTCTAAATTGTGCATAATATTCAGCTGTGTAAAACAAGTCTTAACATGTAGAAATTAATCTGTGAATTTTAGCTTTGGGAAACTACTCAGCCTTTTAAAGGTTGGTTCTAACTTAACAGCACATCACTAACAGTCCAATCACACGTTCCAAAAGAACCCCAGTTACATTGATTTTGTGGTTATTTAAATCATTTTATAAATTTCCTTTGACATGACGTATGAGTAGGTAAAGGTAAAGGTTCCCCTTGACAATTTTTGTCCAGTCGTGTTCGACTCTTGGGGGTGGTGCTCATCCCTGTTTCCAAGCCATAGAGCCAGCGTTTTGTCCGAAGACAATCTTCCGTGGTCACATGGCCAGTGCGACTTAGACACAGAACGCTGTTACCTTCCCACCGAAGTGGTCCCTATTTATCTAATTGCATTTGGATGCTTTCGAACCGCTAGGTTGGCGGGAGCTGGGACAAGCGACGGGCACTCACTCCGTTGCGTGGGTTCGATCTTACGACTGCTGGTCTTCTGACCCTGCAGCACAGGCTTCTGCGGTTTAGCCCGCAGCGCCACTGGATAACATCGATTAATTTGGTCAGCCAATTGTTTTTTTTCCCACCTCCCCAGCGTGGCCTTAAAAAAAAAAGATCCAATCCTTGTATTGGGTCAATCCTTCTTGATTCATCCTGTGTGAACTCAGCCATCGATTTATTTACTATGCATATAGATCGGGTTCTTGGGCACCATGGCAACTGCATGGTCACTGCACTTGTACCCTTAAAATGTTTTTTTAAATAAAAAAGACTGGGGATAGATTGCTTACTTTCCACAGACAGTTCCTGCAGCTGCAGCAGCAACACCACAAACTACATTGCTCAGGAGGGAGTTTCTCTCTCTCCCCCCCCCCGCCCGCTGGCACCCAGTTTAAAAAAGGAAGCAAGGGCTACATGTGACACCCACCATGTGGTGCATCAACTAATGGAAGTGGCAAGAAAATAGTGATATATCACTTACAGTTTTTTTAAAGAACATTTTAGGGCACTGGGGACTGAGAAACAGGGCAGAAAATGAATCGATTTATAGTACGATGTGATGGCATATGTAGCCTACAGAACTAGCACAAATAGAAATGTACCAATTGAACTGACAGCCATGTGAACAGTATATATATGTGACTATATATAGGAATATATAGATTTTAAAAAAGGAAAAAAACTATTCAAATGGTCTCTGTGTTTAGGCCCTCATTAATGCTAATGTTGCCTCCAGTGTTAATTCATTTTACAGTCTAAAATCATTATCCTTACAGTCATTATCATCTGGCACCTAAATTTTCCCATCCTGCAATAGCTTTGTCACTGAATTATCTATTTGCAACTATTTTTGTTTTATTAGAATGCATTCAAACTTTGTATATGTACTTGCTTTATACTTTTAATTTTTGCTAAAGAAGTCTTAATCTCTCTGAGAAAACATTCAAATTAGGTATTGCTGACATGAAAATAGTATGAAAAGCAAGCCAGAAGAAAGTCCCAATGTTTAATTTTGTTTGCTTATGTAAATGATTGCAAATAAAATTATGTTCAGTTTAGAGTTATTTCTATGTGTATGGATTTATCTACCTTTTCGTTTTTACTGAAGAAAATAAACAGAAAATACTGCTAACATTTGAAAATAAATATAAAAACAGACTCTGTAATCTTAAATATGAGGCAACTAAAAATGAATAATTTCTCCGCTGGCTTGCCTTCAAACATAAGAACAAACAAGTACTGAATTCACTCTTCAAACTTATGTGCAGGGGAATTCTCATGCAATGGAGATTTGGCAAAGAGTCTAAAGGACATGCCCTCTAAACTATGTGGTCCTCCACCCATCAAATGTGGTTCAAAGTAGTCTGTGCACTAAATCTAAACTGTAATTCACTCAATATTGTGATTGCTTATAACCCCTATACAGTATCCTGTTTCCAGCCTAAAAGCAGCTCAGAAAAAGTAACAGAACAATCTAGGTAATTTTAACGCAAAGAGCAGTACAACCCCCCCCCAAAAAAACAAGCAATAAAAATATCTTTGCAGTATCAGTAATCAAATCTATCAACTCCTAATACAAAAAAATGTCAGAAAGACAGAAAATCATTTATTTATACAGTACATTCTACAGTACTCCAACTACATACTTTGCTATCTTTTGGCACCCATTATGTGGAATGAGCCCTGTGTTGCAGTCCATGCTGGGCATCAATTAAAGATTTACTTGTTTATCCAGTGGTGGACATTCAGTCCAGATTTTTACCCTGGTCATTTAACTTCCTGCAGGTTTTCATGAACCCCTGGTTTTCAATTAAGCTACTCATGTTGTTTGACTGAAGGTTTCAATGTACTATTTTATCATTCCAGCACTGTTTTTTTTTAGTTTAGACAACTATCATTATTCTATTTGTTTTACTGTTAACAGTTCTGAGGTTTTGTTTTTTTAACCCGACAGGCAGAATAACCCATTCAATAAGTAAATTAATAAATGGATAAACTAACGGCTTCCAGATAATGGCTCAATAAGCCTTCTTGCAACCATGCTACTTGGGCCAGGATAAAGCCAGCTAACAAGGGCTTCAAGGCTCAGTATTCTACCAATTAAACTGCACTAGTTTAATATGTATTTCAGGCTAGACATAATGCCTTTTATTAAACATACAAGGTTCCATCAAGCGACACCTGTTTGCCAGTAGACTAGAAACACAAGGCAGATGCTCTCTCCATACTGCAACTCCTCCCCAATCTATCAAATCTATTCCAGAAAAATGGGAAATATTTTAGATGGATGTCCATTTGTGGTGACGTTGCTTTTTTTTTTTTACTCACAGTCCACAATAGCAATGTTTATTCCTCTTCCAACATTTCCTTTATCTTCACTCATGAGTCTGAAATTGAGATATAAAGTATTAATCTTGGAAGTCTGTCAGGTAGACAACTTCCCGTGCTAATACACGTAGTGTTTGATTTTGAAATAGTTGACTTTATATAAAAAGAGCATTGGGAGCTCCTGAGACATATGAAAACTTCATTATGCAGCATGTTCATTTTTATAGAACGTCAAGACACTAATTCTGTTAGACCTTCGCAGTTTCTCACAGAACCACTACCATTAGGAATTCTGGAACACAAATCCAACTAGTCCAGGTTTGATATGTTCAAAGAAGATAAATCAGAAAAGCAGCCTTATACACAGATACTTACAGTTCATCCTCAAAACAGATTTTAGCAAACTTGTCCTTGCCACCACCACTGACCATGCGATAAGCATAACTTCCGGGTGGACATGGAGTCCAGTGGTCACATTTCTGTCTTTTGGGGGGTGGCGCTACAATGAAAACCAGAGAGGAAATCTTTGAATGCCAGGAACCCATCATTTATAGAACAACATTATGAACAAAATTATTAATTACTAAAGTTATTAAATATGACCAAGTAATAAATATGATCAAGCACATTTATTCTTACGTCATCAAAAATGTGATCATATAATTCTTTTAAAATTGCAAATAACTGGAAACACGTTATACCTGCAGACTCTGCTGAGCTTAGTAAGCAAACTTGATCCAGCCCACTATTTTAAATGTTTTAAATGTAAAGGTATTTTTTATATTTTGATGGTACTGTTTATTTGCATTTTATTATTTCTAATAATATTCTTCTTTTGTTAAACTGTATTGTAATCTGTTGGTTTTATGTGTTGTAAACCACCCAGAGTGGCCTTCGGCCTGATGGATGGCACAAAAATAAAATGCAACTGGAAATCAGAAAATGAATGCAAAGATATTAGAGCTGGATCCTTGTCACTTTAAATATTTCCATTTTAAAAATTTGCACCTATTTTTTTCAAGAATTATATTTAAAAATGAGATCACTTCATTTGTTTTCATTCCTTTCAGTTAATTCCTCCTTTCTATCGTCCCCCCACCCCCGCCATCATGTTGTCAACTCAGGAATAATTCTCACCAAAAAAAAAGTGTGTGGTATGAATAAACACTGTGATCCAGTTGCTTAAAGGGGCAAGTAACCATCATCTTTGAATATTACCCTATTTTCCCCTCTTTCCCCACATTGAGATTATTAGGGAAAAATTGCAAAAGACTGGAACAATGTGGTATTCTCCTTGACTGGCTACTGTATTTGTATTTTTAAGAATTCCTCATGGCGTTTGCTGGGAGGATAGCTTTCCCCACATTGAGATTATTAGGGAAAAATTGCAAAAGACTTCAATCCCTTCCTCCGCATGTCTCAGTCATGATTGTGATCACACAGTTGCTATTTTTAAGTTAGTCTGTACAACTCCAAAGCATGGTACAGAGATAATAGAAACAGGGACACTGGAAGAATGTGGTATTCTCCTTGACTGGCTATTTGTATTTTTAAGAATTCCTCATGGCATTTGCTGGGAGGATACTGGGGACCTTTTCTATACCTGCCAAATCCTAGCTGAGATCAGCCTGCTGCCTCACTGCTAATAACTCTTAAGAGAAGTTCTCCCATTTGTGATCAGGGGAAGTTCGGGAGCAGGGAGGCAATCTTCCTGAAGATGAAAGCTTAGGGGAGCAAGTGATCACAGTTCCTGTATTTGTAGCTGTGTGGAAGACAGGAGACCCACTGCAGCTTGGCCTTTAGTATCCAAGATAACTGTTATCTTGGATAACACTATAACCTATAGAAAATGGATGGCCAGGAAGCATACAACTGGAGAGAATGATCGGGACTTAGTGGTGGCATAGAGCAGTGGTCCTCAACCTTTTTGACACCATGGACCAGCTGGGGGGGGATGGGGTCGGTACACGGGGAGGCACCACCCACGCTCATGCATATGTGCAAAGGGGCGGTGCTCGCTCACATGGGCACTTGCATACATGCAGAAAGGGGCAGGGGTGCACGTGGGGTGCACACATGCGCATGCGTGAAGAGGCTGTGGGGGGAAGTGCGTGCACGGGGCAGAAAATCTGTCTCAGCAGTCCGGCCAGGGCCACAGACCGCAGTGGTCCCCAACCTTTTTGACACCACGACCAGTTGGGGGGATGGGGTCGGTGCACGGGGAGGCACCACCCATGCTCATGCGTATGTGCGAAGGGGCAGTGCTCACTCACATGGGCACTTGCATACATGCACAAAGGGGCAGGGGTGCGCGTGGGGTGCACACATGTGCATGCGTGAAGAGGCTGTGGGGGAAGGGGGGGAACAGGGCAGAAAATCTGTCTCCGCAGTCCGGCCAGGGCCACAGACTGGCACTGGACCAGGGGTTGGAGACCCCTGGAATAGAGTATGCTCCTGTAGGCAATTAATGTAGGTTGCCCTGCTCTAATATGGTTACACTTCTGGCCAGTTCCTCCTTCCACATTGTTTTCAATAGGTGCACCATGACTTTTCACAGGCAACTACCCGTGTTTTCCTGAAAACAAGACAGGGTCTTATAAAAATCTTTGCTCCAAAAATGCATTAGGGATTATTTTCAGGGAATGTTTTATTTTTTTCATGTACAACAATTTACATTTATTCAGATACAGTCATGTCATCTTCTTCTGGTTGCTGCACAATGGCGGAGGGCAGGGTTTCACTTAACTGGGGCTTATTTTGGGGGTAGGGCTTATATTACGAGCCTCCTGAAAAATCATACTAGAGCTTGTTTTCAGGTTAGGTCTTATTTTTAGGGAAACAGGATATGTGCTCTGAAATCATATGGTAATAAAATGGCATTACAGCCATTTTAAAACATCCATGACATGAAATTAGTACTTTATGCCAGCTCCTTGAGATTATCTAGTCACAAATCTAGAAAGTATCCAAATGGAAAACACAACAGAGCACCACACCTTGCTTTCACTTCTTCTATTTCTGGACTGAAATTTGTTTTCCTTTAATTTCCTTCTAGCACATGACTATTTTAAAAAAATCCTTGTCAACACAAATTTACTTATACTGTAATCTTCCCATTTTAAACATTGTGCTTAAATACATTCCAGATTGAAAAGCTGGAAAAGAGGAGGAAATGATGGAAGAAAATTAAAAATAAAACCAAAATACAGAAATGGGAAGCCTTCAGTAAAAAGAATCCCACCATTATTTGATTCATCATGAGAGCCTGTGCAATTCTAAAGTCACACTACCTAAATTATGGGTGCTGATCTAAGAAGTTATTGCTGCATGAAGGACCTGCCACTTAGACTTAGAGAGACATCTCAAAGTGCTACCAATCAAAATACACTGCATAGTTATTCTGTTTTCCCTTTTTTAGTAGGTTCTCCTTCTCTCTCTCTCTCTCTGTGTGTGTGTTTGTGTGTGTGTGTCTATCTCTCTCTCCGTGTGCGCGCGCGCACAAAAAAAGAGATTAAAGTGGTGTGTGTGTGTGTGTGTGCGTGCAAAAAAAAAGAGATTAAAGTGGCGGCAGGAGGTTAGAAGATGACATCTAGACACCCTGTAACATGCAGTGAATGAAACTAGGCAATTACACAGTAAAAGCTTCATCTGGAAGAACTTTCAATCAGTCACGAAGTAACTTAGGTGGCCACAAGGAACACCTGGCATATGTCACACTATGGCACACTGCAGATTTTATTATAGGCCTACTTTTAATTTCCATCTACTTCACATCCTCATTTGGATGGCACAGTGATCTGTGAAAGATTTACAACAGTCACGGCAATGGCATGTCAGGTAATTCAGATTGTACCAAAACCAAACAATAGCTAGCATATACCAGGTGTTACTCAGGCCCAGGCTCTTGGCAGAAGTCTATTGGTTTTGCAATTTTCAAGAGGGGCAAACAAAATAACTAGCTCATGAATATATATTTATATACAGCAATGGTTAACATAAACAAAATATGATAATACTATGAACATGAATAAGGAGGCATTTTGCATCATTAACAGGCAGTAATGAGGTAAAGATCAACAAGTATACAAATATTTTCAAAATGTCACTCTGGGAAGTGGAAAACACAAAAATAGAAAATACAAGTAATACTAAAAATCCAGTCAAAGCAGTAGTGCATAAAACTATTTAAAAATCACACATAGGTGAGGGAAACAGATTGCTTAAAATAATGTAATCTAGAAGGACTAGGTTATGCAGAACCTAGTTTTCTGGACTATAGCATTATTTTAAACAGATAATTAACTGATAAATAAGAGAGAGTGAATACAAGGCACATCAGAATTTTTGTTTGTCCAACTATGATTGCTTAACTGCTGCTTCTGTCAAAAGAGGGATAGCTCAAGTGATTCTCACTAATGAAGAGCAGAAACACAGTGATGGACTGCTGAAATTTTGTATTTACACCATCGTTTTGGTCTTATGAGACCTCAGATGCCTTTTTCCAATAGCTAGTTGGGAATAAAACAAGGACTTGCTATTTCCATTGCTGATTTTATTTTATGCATTGAATTAGAGCCCCGAAGACAATGTACAATAAAATAAATTAAAACATTATTTCTTCTTTATCCATAGCTTTAAGAGCTCTCTCTTTTGGCATCAGCTTCCACCTGTACTATGGGCATAATTATAGGGATATTCTATGTGTTACGTTTCAAATATTTATTTTGTATTTTAAAATAGTTTTAAGCTACCATAAATCTGACAAATATGGCACATGGATGCAGTCTCTGTCTTGAAAAGAATTAAAGAAATAATATTTTTTAAAACATCTATGAAGGACTGTGAACTTTCTGAAGTTTTCATGTCAATATTCATCTGGGCATAAAAAATATTTCAAAGCGAAATTATTTTCACTCATTTTCCCCTTGCTTCAGGACTGGGGAAGAAGAGAAACAGTGAATAGTTAAAATCACTACCAGATTGCCACCACCAACGTTGGGACCTCCGCCACTGATTTAGGGGCAAATTGTGACTATTAAAGGTCCTCTGCCACATCCCAAGGACCCCAAAGGTTTCCCCGAGGCAAAAGGGAGCCTTAGAATCTGAAACGGGACGCAGGAAGCTTTCAATGTATTCAAATTAAATATTTTCACTGCTGAACTTGATTGGGTCTTGTGTCTGGGGGGGAGGAAGTGTAGCATAATAAGGGACCCATCACTGGTCCCTTATGTTACACCAATGGTATTCTGCTGCAACCAATCCCCTTTTATCATCCACCTACAATTTCACTTACAATACATTGTTTAATAAGGTTGTTAACCACATATTGGTGTGCATTATTTTCAGGCCAGGCAATTGAGAGGAACATAGGGTCATCTTGTTTGGGTCCGCAACAGGATTTTGCCCATTGTTTTGCAAGGTATAGCTAAAGCAGGGAACAAGGCAGAAACATATGGAGATATAGGAAGAGGAGTTGGCAATGGTCACACATTTGAAGTAATGAAAGACACAGAAAGCTGCTCTTACAGAATGAGACATCTACTTCACTCAGCAATCAGGTCCCTTATATTTAACATAATGTATAAAGGTAAGGTAAAGGTTCCCCTTGACATTTAGTCCAGTCGTGTTCGACTCTAGGGGGCGGTGTTCATCCCTGTTTCCAAGCCATAGAGCCTGCTTTTGTCCATAGACAGTTTCCGTGGTCACGTGGCCAGCGAGACTAGACAAGGAACGCTGTTACCTTCCCACCAAGGTTGTGCCTATTTATTGATTCGTATTTACATGCTTTCAAACTGTCAGGTTGACAGGAGCTGGGACAAGCGACGGGAGCTCACTCCGTCACGTGGATTCAATCTTACGACTGCTCGTCTTCCAACCTTGCCGCACAGAGGTTTTTGTGGTTTAACCCCGCAGCACTACCATGTCATAATGTATAAGCACAATTATTTGACAAAAATGCAAATTAAATTGCAGTGTCTTATAAGATGCCAAGCAGAAGATGACATACCTTTCACTTTTGGTTTTTCTGCAAGATTTTGAAGATTGTCATAAGTTGATATCAGTGAGTCTTCAGGTATCATATATGCCAATAGGGATCCAAAGTACCAGGCACAGACAGATGCGAAAATAAACCCAACTAACTTAATAAAATCTGAAGAAGAAACACATAAAAAAACCCTATGTAGGTCTAGATGAAAAAGAGGCACTTTACCTCTACAGAGCTACTGTTTCTAGCTCAGTAGATTGTGGTTGATGCATTGATTCCAAGCCAGAGAGAACAGAAATTGAATTTAATGCATTTTAAAATTGAAACAACAGAACAATATGCCAGTTCTTTATCAATTCAATCATGCATATGTTTATTAAGAAGCAAGGTTCTTTATTTCAAAAATATGTCAGTGTTACCCTTAGATATTAAAAATAATAGGATACGTCTTGCCAGTGATGATGCATTTTAATCAGTGTTGAAAAATCACATTTTGGAGTGTAGCTCCCACGATTCCCCTAGCCTGCACAGTCACTGGTCATGCTGACTAAATGATTATGGCATTTGTGCATCAAATGATATGCACAGTCAACATTTATTAATGACTTATACATTGCTGAAATACAACTGTAATTACTGTGGTACCCAGTGTGGTGTAGTGGACAAAGTGATGGACTAGGACTCTGTAGACCAGGGTTCAAATCCCCGGTTGGCCATGGAAACTCATGGTGGTGGTGTGGAACTGGTAAAATCACTCCTTAAATATTTCACCTACCTTGCAAGCCCTAACAGGGTCACTATTAGTCAATTCCAACTTGACAGCACAACACTTAACTATAATGACTGTGGCACTTGAGAACACTTCCAGTTCAGCAATTGCCACCTTGACACCTCTTAATAAAAACCTGTTCAAAAATATCTGAACATATATGAGACATGATGAAACAAGTCTGTACAGTATTCGGGCAGAGGTCCACATCAAATTACATTTTCAGTGTCCATGTCCTCAAACACTCCGAGGGCTAATGGTATCAGTTTTAATAAAAACCTGTTCAAAAATATCCGAGCATATATAAGGCAAGATGAAACAAGTCTGTATTTGGGTAGAGGTCCACATCAAATTACATTTTCAATGTCCATGTCCTCAAACACTCCCAGGGCTACTGGCATGAGTCCCCAATGACTCTTGGTCCCACAAGCTTCTATAATCCCCCTTAAAGGGCTGAAAGACCCCCAAGTACTGCTAGGCCTGGGAGTAGGGCTAGGCAAGTGAAAAAGAGCCAAACCCCAAAATTGGGAAGATGCTACAGATGGAAGTAAAGCAGAATTCAAGGATCGAAAGGATTCAGAGGGGGAAAACACCCAAGTAGTTCAGAAACAAAGACAAGCATATTTTAAGAAATTGCAAAAACACCACTTGAAATTCTTACTAGGCTCTCCTTAATATTAAGTGCCATAATTTGCTCCCTAATCACTCTCCAAAAATTTCTGAAAAGGTAAGGGGGTTGACCCCCATCCCTCACCTCATTTTATCTTCACAGGCACCAAGCAAGCCAGTTTGCTAAAAGGAAGTAGGACTGGCCAAAGGGAAACCAAGGCAAGCACAAATGAGAAACCAAATCTCCTCACTCTTATTCCAAATACTTGCATTAAACAAGCTATTAAAAAAATCTACGGACTTATTCACTGGATTTGTATCTCTCCCCCCACCACCCCATGGTAACAAAAGGCTGGGTCAAACAGGGCACAAACATACAAGAGGGCAAATGGTGCTCCAGCTAGTCATCCTCTTGCAGTTTGTAACTTCTGCACAGAGATATTACATTCCTGATTCATACATGCTCTGAACACAGTCTCCATCTAGCAAAAACATACTGTATTATGAACTGGTTGATGCTAAAGCTGTGACCATTTCCTGGAGATGACCAAGGCCAACAAGAGTAACTTTAATCGCCCAACATCTGTGGATAACTATCTTTTTTAGTCTGCCAGCGCAAAGCTGAAAGAACTGCCCTAGAAGCAGCTGAGCTTTCTAAAGATTATGCTGACACAGGTGGAATAGCAAATGCCCACACCAAGTCAAGGTGCATAGTCCACTGCCAGTCAGGTTATTTGGGCACAAGAGGAAGAACATCTCTTTAGCATTTCTCTCCACCAGGAGCAGTAGAAACACAAAATGAATTAAATAACCAGGTCTTTTCTCTTTCATGGCCCCTCACCTGAGGCAAACATCTTACTCTGCTCAACGGTGGATCATTAAGTTTAGAATCCACAAGACAAATTACTGTCTTGTGGATTCAGCCTCGGAGGCCTGGAGCGCAATTTTAATCCACAAGAAATAAATTCCCTGGAAGTAAATGGGATTTGATTTCTATTTCCCTTCAGGAATAGGGTGCAACATATTCATCTCCCTGATTTGGGAATGCTATCAAAATCTACTTAATCTACAGGGCATCAGGCCACCAATGTATTTGTTTAATAAGGCAGGAGCTCTCCTGTTCCTAATTTCTCACATGAAACTCTCTATATAGCCTCCTTCAGGCTGAAACAAGGGTCCTGTCGTCCCTAGGGATGAGAGTTGGCCCTCTATATACCAAGGGACGCCAGGGCTTTCTCCATCTCAAACCCAGCCCTCCTGCGCCCCTGATGAGGCGCGACTGCGGGTACCGAGGGCACAGCATTCTGCACGTGCTCAGGAACACACACGCGCGCCTCATTTTCTGACATGCGAACTTCCTCTATGGCTCCAGTGCGTGAAACAAGGCCAAGAACATCCGCCTCCCTCCCTCCCGGGAAAGTGGTAAAGTAGCCACACAAATTACACGGATCCGGACTAAAGGAAGCAAAAGCGGGGAAAGGAGACGGAAACTTGGCGCTACTCACTGTTGCAGCCGGCCCGCATCGTCTCGCGTGGGCTGCCCACTCGGCTCCTCCGCAGGCGATGGTGACGGGCACACAGACCCCGCTGGGCCCGAGGGCGACGCTCAACACCGGCTTCCTAGGCTCAGCAGCACTTTTCGCGTATCAGCCGGCCCGGGAGGAAGCGGGAAGGCTTTCCTCCGCTGCACTTGCCCGTAGGCTTGGCCCGCCCTCCCTTCCTTATCATCCGCCGCCTCCGCCCAGGACAGGTGCGTTGCGCAGTCTGTGAGGCCGGAGAGGCTGCTGGTGGGGGAAAGGAGGCGCCCGCGAGTGGCGCGACCGGCCCGACGGGTGGCTTGTCAAGACTTCCCGATGAACTCCGCACCTCGGCTGAGGGGAGGGCAGCGTCTCCGGCCTGCCTGACGAGGAAGACAAATTGCTGCCCTCAGACGGAGCAGCCGAGCGGCGCTCTGCTGCGTGTTTACTCGGAAGTAAGGTCCACCGGGCCGGGCGGTGCTTATTCCCAGGTAAAAGCCCCCTTGGGGCTGTAGGGTTACAGTACAAACCTCTCAGCCCTTCTCTCGAGTTGTGCGGGGTGTGTGAGTCTCCCTCTACCTGAATTAAAATGGACCTTTCTCGAACGGGAATCTTTATATAGTAATATAGTATTTTGGTGTGAGGATTAACATTATAGTTTTGCAATTCTTTTCCTCTACCTTCCAGAGATGGCATTAAGTGCCGGCATTTTATAGCAAAACCCGGCTTAATTCAGTATGAGCCTCCCACGTCTGGAGCGCAATTTTAAGCCAAAAAAATTGGCAGACGCAGCAAACGTGATTGGGTGGGCGAGTGGGGTACCGGGTGAAACGAGCATATCCTGTTTCCCCGAAAATAAGACCTAACCTGAAAATAAGCTCTAGTAAGATTTTTTTTCACGATGCTCATAATACCCCAAAACAAGCCCTAGTTAAGTGAAAGCCCGCCCTCCACCCTTGTGCAGCAACCAGAAGACAATGACATGACTGTAAAATAAAACATCCTCTGAAAATAAGCTCTAATGCGTTTTTGGAGCAAAAATTATTATAAGACCCTGTCTTACTTTCGAGGAAACACGGTAGAAGATAATTGCATTGATAACACTGGGAATAAACTTGTAAAATGACAATGAAGGACCTTAGGAGCTTGGGTAAAAGTTATTTTTCTGGCTCACCCGGAAGGAGGTCGGGGGAGGCTTTCTCAGCGTTCCTGGATGAAGCTTGCCTTCTCCTCTCAGAAATATCCTGTATTTAAAAGTCGACGGGGGTAAAAGGGGTAGCTTATTAAACGTAATAGCGGCAGTATTTGCTACTCCGCCCGAATGGTTAGGGAAGTGTGTGCACTCAATAAAAGCTCTCCCCAAATGGACCTCCTCCCAACACTCCCTGAGCAGTGCTTAAAATACTGTACTGTATTCTGATCTGGGGTGGCCAGATGGGTGGAATGTGTAGGTATATCCCACGAAGTTGAGCTAGAAACTTAAAGTTTTATCCAAAAACAGGATAGCAGGTTCTTTTATACCTCCTAAGTTATTTAGATTATTAACTATGTTCATGTATTTGGCCTTCTACTCCTATACATGGCTGGTAGTGTATATGCTGAGGCTTTATAACTCACGATTCTTGGGGGATTAAGTTTAAATAAAGATTAGCAATAATTTTAAAAGTTTTTCCATTGGAACACAGTATTGTGCAAGACTGCCACCAAGTGCATGACATGATGTACTTTCTTTTTAGAAACATAATCCAAAAGCAAAATAAACAAATAAATAAAATAAAATACAAAGACATTGTGGCACTTTGAAGACTGGCTGCTGTATTGTAATGTAAGCTTTCATAGAACAAGTCTACTTCTTTGGGCATTAATCTAACCTAATTTCATATTGGCAGTGTCGAAGGGCTTCCAAAGCCAATTTACTGCCTGAAGAGGAGCTGCAAAGGGCAGCCACCCTATCCTATAATCAACATGTATTTTTGGTTTTAATTGTTAACACCGTAGGTGGAAAATAGGATAAGTGCTGCTCCCTTCAGTAAGGATGTGATACTCCCTAAAACAGATAACATTATTTGTTGTGGGGGGGGGGCATTGCAACAGCTATTACACTCTGTCTGTTCATAGGAAGTTTGCCTATTCTTAGGGTTATCCATAATTTTCTTTCAATCCTCATTTCACATTGCATCTTGGTTTGTGGTATCATGAACTCTTGCCACAGTAAGTCAAAATGATAGTCTCCCACTGCTTCAATGGCTGCCTCTATTCTCTCTCTATGCTCCCAGTGGGTGGACCTTCTTGAAATGTACAAGATGCCACTTCATTCCCTGAAATTCCCTTTTCAAACCCCAGATTTTCCATTCATCATATTAATCCACGTTCCCCACTGTAATTAGACTTTGAATATATGTAATAACTGTACACATTCTTCTGTTCCCCTATTTCCACTATTTTCGGTGGCACATTCCTTGGGAGCAAGGACAAGACTGTGTAAGGTGCCATGTACAATGATAGCATAGGGCAGGGAGGCCTCTACAAGATAGTGTTGAACTACAACTACCATCATCTGACCACTGGCCATGTTTGATGGGATTTCCAGATCAACAACCTCTGGAGGATTTCAAGTTTCCAGTCCCTGGTATAAATAGCATCAAGAAGGTTAGAGACAAATGCATACAGAAACATCGAAAGGGTTGAGTTCGTTTATTAATTTAAACCAACAAGGGGGAAAATAAATTGTACACAGTGCACATATGAAAGCAGAGGTTATGAGTAGAAAATTTGTACCTACAATTTAAAAATGTAGAAATGATTTGGGTAGTGTGGACAAGATTTCAATTATTAATGTTAAAAATATATAATAAGACATTATTTTGGTCCCTATATTTATTATTAATCAATTGTAAAAGCATGCAAATATCAGACCCATTCAATGTCTTCTCGTTGCTTTTCAAGTTCTGTTACAAATTATACACCTTACACATTGATGGCTAACCCTACCTGGTATGTCAGTTATTATTTCCTTGGTGCTACTGGTCAGGAAATTCTGAAGTTGTGGTTAAAAAGTTTTCCACATTGAGTGAAGGATTCAACATGTACTTCTAAAGTTTGCTTTCAGGATGATTTTCTCCCTTCATAACAGTCAAGGACAATCACTGTTATATGGCCCATGGTTTCCTTATCCAGTAGTAGCTATAAAGATGTAGTGCCATTTCCACCTGTGACTGGCACACAGCAAACAGACGTACAGGTATTTGTTGAAAGTAACTACTTGCAGGATTAGCAGATGGCTTATAAAATAGCCGCCCTTCCTTGATGTCACCCCTTTTGTTGTTTCACTTCCATGTACAATACTGTAATCCCTGCAATTTTCCTTTTTCCTTTAGCAACAGTTGCATGAAGCAATGCATTGCCAGTGAACAGCACTGCAGAGGTTAAAGCGATACTGCTTTTCCATTTTGTATAAAACACACAATCATCTGGCCCACATGATACCCAGCAGATGCTACGCGCATGCAGTCAAAACTCTCATATCAGGAAACAGTTTATGTTAGGACTTATATCCTGATATTTCACCTGTGTTTAGACAGCTGTAATTGCTTTTTTTGCATTTCCAAAGGGTCTTGCACGGTGTTTGCTTTTTGCTTTGCTTTTTTTTTTTTTTTGTGATTTTTTTCTTCAGCCGGAATGGATTAATTGCGGTTCTGATGGGTATTGTAGTGGGTTCTTCTCTTTTTTTGTGATTTTTTTCTTCAGCCGGAATGGATTAATTGCGGTTCTGATGGGTATTGTAGTGGGTTCTTCTCTTTTTTTGTGATTTTTTTCTTCAGCCGGAATGGATTAATTGCGGTTCTGATGGGTATTGTAGTGGGTTCTTCTCTTTTTTTGTGATTTTTTTCTTCAGCCGGAATGGATTAATTGCATTTCAGTGTATTCCTATGGGAAATGGTGCTTCGACTTACAGCCATTTAGAGTTATGATCGGAGTTCCGGAACCAATTAAGTTTGTAAGTCGAGGCACCACTGTAAATTGCTTAAGTAGCTGGTCTCCACAAAAATCTTTCTATAGCACAATCTGTGGCATGTAGTTCTTAATTAAGTATTAAAGCCGTTTTATGTGTGTATATATGAAGTTCTAAGTGAGCAAAATGCCTGAAATGTGTTGTGCACATTAAGTTTGTAAGTCGAGGCACCACTGTAAATTGCTTAAGTAGCTGGTCTCCACAAAAATCTTTCTACAGCACAATCTGTGGCATGTAGTTCTTAATTAGGTATTAAAGCCGTTTTATGTGTGCATATATATGAAGTTCTAAGTGAACAAAATGCCTGAAATGTGTTGTGCATTCAGTGTAAGCCTCTTTTAAGATTTTGGTGATAATACTGATAATACAGTGGTGCTTGACAAGGATAATTCGTTCCGTTCAAATCACTGTTAAGCGAAATCCTCGTCAAGCAAAATGAAAAAGCCCATTGAAATGCACTGAAAACCGGTTCAATGCGTTCCAGTGGGCGAAATACCTCAGCGTCCAGTGAAGATCCTCCATAGGGCGGCCATTTTCCAGTGCTTGTAATGCGAGGAATCCGTCCTAAAGCACAGTGGGGAGCCATTTTGCACAGCGGGCAGCCATTTTGAAACCCGATTATCAGCTGTTTTTGATCGTTAAGCAAAAAATTGGTATCCGAAGCAGGGAACTGATCATCGTAAAATGGAAAAACCCCATTGAATCATCGTTTAGCAATCGCAATAGTGATCGCGAAAAACTACTCGTCAAGTGATTTCCTCTAACGAGGTAATTGTCAAGCGAGGCACCACTGTACTAATAAAATACTGACAGTGTCTGTGAAATATTTGGTTCCCAGTTCAGTCTAATTTGGGGGATACAGTAGGAACTCAGTATCCATGGGATCATTATACACTGATTCACTTATCCACAGTCTAAAAATATTAAAAGAACCCCCCCAATAAGTGTGTAATTTATTGCCAGAGGCAACACTATGTATTGTATACCATTCACTATTATACTAGTGTTCGCTATAATCCATGTTTTTCAGCATCCACAGGAGCACGTGGAACCAATCCCCCGTGGATACGGTGGTCCTACTGTATAAACTTTAACCCCAAAATTCACTGTCATTCTCTTTTGGCAGTTGTATTTAAATATTATTTGAAAGCTTTTATCATTCCGTATTTGAAAATAAACATTCCGTCCTTTTGAGAACCTTTCGTACAACATCCCTTGAAAAAATAAGAATACTTTAAAGTGAGGCATTACCTGTGTTTCATTAAAAGTTTTGTGATGTTGTGGGATAATAAAAATAAGCAAAACACTCTAAGCAAATATACATCTCAACAGGAGTCATTCATTATCTATTTTTGGCAATAGGAACACATAGTTTTGTCTTTATATATTATCACCTATACTTTGAAGGGGGGAAATCAAGTTGTATTTGTAGTGGCACTCTCCACTCTGTCTCAGTTCCAACGGGCACATTATCTTTCTGCAACGTTTGCACAGTAATTTGAGTTGGGGAAAGTACCATATGGCGGTTACTCCTTCCATTAGAATGCCTTCTTATGCGTGGGTCCCCACATGGCCAGGTTGAATAAATGTCAATGGGTTTCCTAGAATTCAGATCAATTTTAAGATGACCATACAAATGTATACTTACAAAGTCTCAACACAGATGCTGACAAATGGCCACATCCCTTTTATTTTAATATACTGAAGTATTTTACAGGTGTCAAGGATAATTAAA